GGGCGGCTTGTGGGCGTACGAGTGGGCGTGGCACATTGCTGAAACAAAATTGCGCTGCGTAAGAAGCTCAGGAATCTGCACGCCAAATCTCAATAGCCTAGTTTTTATAGTTTCCGAGATCTCAGCGTTCATCCGGAGAGATGGACAGACGGACAGACGGCTAGATCGACTCGGCTAGTGACCCTGATCAAGAATATATATACTTTATGGGGTCGAAAGCGCTTCCTTCTGCCTGTTACATACTTTCCGACGAATCTTGTATACCCTTTTACTCTACGTGTAACGGGTATAATTACCATTTAAATATACCGGTTTTGACTCCACATCTTCTACGAAAGAAAGTAGAAAAGCGAGGCACAGGTGTCCACAGTTGTATGTATCAAAGTCTTGAACTCTATCGTAGTTGTATTGTATTCTATGTCCCAAGTATTTCACAACTTCTCTAGGTGGCCGAAGATTTCCAAAACTATCGAAATAATGTATATTATTTTTATTTTTATTAAATGCAACCCAATGTGTACCACTTGATCGTGAAGTAGATCTCTCATAAACACCCCTCTAAAATGTGGGATATATTTCCTAGCAAAATGTATAATGTCGATATTTGATAGTGGTCTATTGGGTAGCAGAGAAATTAGTTTTTTCGCTTCTTAATTCCTTTCCCCTTACTATAGGGCTTAAGAAAGAAACCATAACCCTTTCTATAGGGCTTGAGATATAATCCTTCTCCTACAGCAACACTTTCAATTTTCCTGTTGTGACGTTTTTTCTCCTCCATATCTTCCTTAGCCATTCTCGCATTGTTAATTGGTTTTGCAATTGCTGCACTACCACTTGCTAAACTACCAATAGTGCTGAGGGCTGTCAAGATCGGCACGATTGGTAGAAAACCTCCAATTTTGGGTACATTAATTACACGAGGTCCTTTAACATTTTTCTTAGAACCCATTGATTGATGAATTGATTAACGTGGAACTTTAATTGCCCTCATAATGTCTAATGGTTTGTGTTTTTTAAATGAAACACTGTTAGCATTAAATTTTTTTGCAACATTAATAACAGTCGATAGGGTTCATCTAAATTTTTTTTATCTTTTTTCTTTCTTTCTTTTCCGTTTTATTCATTATAATATCTTTATATATTCATTACAAAGTATGCTGCTGTTTTTTCACCAAGACTGTTATCTGGTGCCTTGACACGCGACCAGGCTTTGTCAATCAATATGGAGTCTGCCCTATGTCGTACTATCGTGCTCTTTGCAAGCTTCATCCAATGAGTTTATTCCTTGATCACTGCAATCCAAGCGTTTACTGTAAATTATTTTCCGGAATATGATTTCAATCGGTAATGTATTTATCTGCTTATCGACAATAACACCACCGTGTTAACAGTTAAAAATGCGACTGAAGCGATTATAAAAACGTTTCCCCATTCTATTGATGTTTAATCATCAAAGATTTCTCATTGAATAAGGTACAGTAGTTTGAAAGGTGCGTATAGTAAGCCAAAATTAAAAAATTGTAGTTAGAAATATTAACGATGGAAACGAGAAAAATCTAGCGCCACGACATAGTGCCGATTAAAGGAAGTGGATATCACATATTCTTCCATAATGACGGTGTACAGTAAAGCCAAAAACAATTCCATTATGATATTCGATGACGTAGCTTGTTGAAAACAAAATAGCATAAGATCTTATTTTTGTATGGGTCGACATAAAAATATCGACTTCTTATTAATGTCAAACATATAGTCATATACCGAAACATTTGATTCGTGACAATGACAACTTTATTATAATGTTTAAGCAAGATAATATATATATGCGGCATATATAATGGGACCATATTTGTCAGAACTTTTAGGAGGGTAAGCACGAATTCTTATTAACTAGCAAAGATAACGAAATGAATAATGGAAGATACAGAAAAGCACTTGATCAATTTATTATGATTTAGGGAGTGATATCAATATAAAGCTGGGTTAGCTACTACAATCCCACAGCTTATCAAGAGATTTCAACAACTCTAGATCACTTGCATTATCCTTGGATGGAAATAGTTCCATTATAAATACAAACTTTTTTCCACCTATCCAATTGAATGGTCGATATGAGTGCGCACTTATCGACTTTAATATGTAAATTTCGATTCCAAATATTGATGAAAGCAATAATCTCTTTCACATCGGTGACAATGTTATTACAATTCCTACTGGATCATACGAATCGAATAAGAACACCGATTTCGTTTACAAAAAACTAAAATACTTTAACCATGAAAATACATTTAAAATTCAAAGTAATAATAATACACTTCAAGTTGAAATAACTAACTAACAACTGTTTGGTTTCCATCAAAAAGTACTAGAACCACATCCTACAAAAACCTTTCGATCAGATCAGACCGTGAACATATTAAAAACAAGGAAGAACGCTATAGTCGAGTACATCGACTATCAGATACCCGTTACTCAGCTAAATGGAGATATGCAAGCAGCAAAGCGAGATTAAAATGCGCAACCTACCGGCGGTATACAGATTTAAGCGTTATGGGCGTTAGAGTGGGCGTGGCAAATTTTTTTTTGGATCAATCGATAGGTATCGACAAGACCAATACATTTCAGTTAAAATTTTTTATCTAGCATGAAAATTGTGGGCGTCACAGGTTTTCGCGGTTTGTGGGCGTTAAAGTGAGCGTGGCAAACTTTTTTTTGGCTCAATTGATAGGTATTGATGGGAACAATACATTTCAGTTAAAATTTTTATTCTCGCATTAAAACTGTAGGGGCCACAGTTTTGGGCGGTTTGTGGGCGTTAGAGTGGGCGTGGCACTGTGCTGAAACAAACTTGCGCTGCGTAAGAAGCTCAGGAATCTGCACGCCAAATCTCAATAGCCTAGCTCCTATAGTTTTCGAGATCTCAGCGTTCATCCGGACAGACAGACAGACGGACATGGCTAGATCGACTCGGCTAGTGATCCTGATCAAGAATATATATACTTTGTGGGGTCGGAAACGCTTCCTTCTGCCTGTTACATACTTTCCGACGAATCTAGTATACCCTTTTACTCTACGAGTAACGGGTATAATTAATACAATTCGTTTGGAATGTAATATAATCAGCGGTTCATATGTAGATAATACACCGAATAATACATTATATGAGTTTGGCATTAATGTTCCGCCTGGGTATAAAATGACAGTGACACCACACAACCTAATTTATTTATCAATCAACTGTGACGAAATAAGCACACTGTCTATACGCATAGTTCATCAAAACGGTGATTTGGTGAATTTACGTGGTGAAAACGTTTCGATTCGCATGCACATTCGGTTAATAGAATAATTATTTATAATAAAAGACGTAGCTTAAGTCCTCAGCCAAGCATTACTAATTGTAAACCTATAGAAAGAGGATCAACAGTAAAAAGAAGCTCACTTACTTTGAAAAATATACTATTTTTAAAGTCGTTACGCTTGAAGCGAAATTTTAAATGTTCGAGAAAAGGTTTACTCAGATGAGAGTATTTCGAAGGAAGAGTTTCATACTTATTCATCGTATTATCAAACATTTAAGACAAACGATGAAATTCGAATTACTATTCAAAATCAAGACTTGTACGTGCTTCCTCACGAAAGTTACCTTAATTTTCCAGGAATTATTGAAAAAGATTCACCGAATGGACCTACAACTGATAATGTTACCACTTTTTTAAAAATAATTGTATGGCTTACTCTTTGGATGAAATGAAGTACGAAGTAAATGGATATGAGATTGATAAAACGTTATTTGTCTGTATGACTACAACTAATAACATAATATATCATTAATATGCTAATTGTCCCAGAAGCCGCGTTTCCATACTACTACCGTATAATTTTTTCTTTTAACATTCGACTTATTTCAGAATTTACAAAATCTGAAGCTGATAAAGCATTGCTGTTTTGTTATGTTTTTATACCCGTTACTCGTAGAGTAAAAGGGTATACTACTAGCCTGGTCGATCGTGCCATGTCCGTCTGTCCGGATGAACGCCGAGATCTCGGAAACTATAAGAGCTAGGCTATTAAGATTTGGCGTGCAGATTCCTGAGCTTCTTACGCAGCGCAAGTTTGTTTCAGCATTTCTAACGCCCACAAACCGACCAAAACTGTGGCTCCTACAGTTTTTATGCTAGAACAAAAATTTAAACTGAAATGTACTGTTCTCACCAAATCCTATCGATTGACCCAAAAAAAATTGCCACGCCCACTTTAACCCCCACAAACCGCCCAAACTTGTGACGCCCACAATTTTCATGCTATATAAAAACTTTAACTGAAACGTATTGGTCTCATCAATACCTATCGATTGATCCAACAAAAATTTTCCGCGCCCACTCTAACGCGCATAACGCGTAAATCTGTCTACCGCCGGTAGGTGGCGCATTTCAATCTCGTTTTGCTGCTTACATCTCTCCATTTCCCTTTGGTCCCTTTAGCTGAGTAACGGGTATCTGATAGTCGGGTTACTCGACTATAGCGTTCTTCCTTGTTGTTCTTGTTGTCTTGGTTAAACCTTAAATTATTATTGTTCCGCTGGTTATTATAGTTATTTTTTGTTGTCTTGGCTTGTGGTTGAGTTTTGCACACTATGTTTTCTCTTAGTAGTTAAGAAACTATTTGCGAAATGAGCCCTCATGTTGTTGCTTTCTAATTCCTGAACTATGACCATTGCATTTTGTAGGTCAGGTGGATTCACATCTGAAATTTGGCCAATGAGGCCGGTAATGAAAACTCTAAGAGATGTCTTCCTATGTTTTTCATTCATTTTCGCTGTTGTCGCTTTGTTTATACCATTGCACTATGGGCAAAAAAACCGTTTTTGGTGCATAAACTCTAGTTTTTAAGATATTGACTTGAACCTTTTTTTGGTGTAATAATTAAACTTAAACAAAATTTTGGTTTTTGTTTTTTTTTTAATTTGTCTACCGCACAGTGGTTAAAAATACATTTTAAAATAAGTAATTATTATATATTATAATTTTAATCCTATTTGGTGTTACATTATAGAAAAAAACCGGTAACATATTTGGGATCCATTGTTACATTTGAAGAACACTGAAAAAAAATTCGATTAACTTTTTTTAATAACTCAACAATTTTAACTTACTCTTTTTATTTTTTCCTCGTTTTTTAGTTTTCAATATCGTCTGGTACCTCTTCCTCTAATTCTATTTCAAAAGTGTCACTTACATCATCGCTACAATTTTCTTCATCTGTGTCTTCTGTGCCTGGGGATATGATTGGCGAATCCAAAAGATCTACAACCTCTGCTGGCAGAGGCATCCGGTTGGTTTTTGTTGAGCAAAAACTAGATAAAAGGGGATCAGACGAATCCATAGCTCTGTGAAAAACATCTGACATATTGTCAACCCGGCTGCATTTTCTGGCATGATCATATGACAATTTTGGACGACCACCTTTCTTCTGTGGGGATTCATTTCTATCAGAAAGTATAGTCATATTACCGGCTAGCCACATAGCGTGTTTTTGTCTAAATCGCTTTATGTTTCGGCAGCATCGAGGCAAATGTTTATTTATGTAATTAATAAAGTTAGTAATTTTAGTTGATATTGTTTTTATTATTGTTTCATTTTGATGATCGGCATTCAATTTGTCGAATATGTAAGTCTCCAATGCTTCTCGCGAGCGTTTGTTGCTTTCCCAAACTGCAAGAAGAGCCCCGTGACCAAACACATATGTCTCTACATAAACGCAAGTTTAGCGAAAAGGAGCAAAAATGAGCAAAAACGGTTAGTTGTATGACAATAAGGACACTTTTGTAATTAATTTCTCGTTCTTACTCTTTTGCAAGTCAATGCTATTAATAAGCTATACTCCACAAAACACAAACACAATTGTTAGTTCAAATCTATAAAGATACACATAAAAAAAGTTCACAGGTGGACAACAAGACACATAAAATCAAATGTTTAAGCTAATTTGCATTAATAAATACCTTTGCAAGGAATTTCCATTTTCATATTGATTAAACTTTTTTTCACAGAAAACAACAAGCACGTAAAGTTTGCCAATTTTTCGCACCAATTTAACGACATAGCAAAGCCTCTCGAACAGCTGACTTTGTTGGAGTGGCAACACTACAGAGTTGCCACCAAAAATTTTTGGAGGGCGGTTTTTTTGAAATGAAGATGTCTAGATTCGATTAGTATGGGCCATTCATAAAAATTAATTAAGAAAATAAATAGGTTTATGCACCAAAATCGGGTTTTTTACCCATAGTGCATTGGTCATATTAGTTTTATTAATTAGTAGAGTTAATTTTCTAATATATATATATAATAATCAATTATGGATAATTTTCCCTGACTCAATACACTTAATTCAATAAAATGAATTGGACGTTTGTAGCTAAGGACAAGGTCAAGTCTGGCCATTATGGCATCGAAATCTAATACCGTACCATTACGGGTTAAGGCATCGTTTGTCATTCCCGTTATTTTGCTTCTTAATATAGATTAGGCAGAATAAAATCGTTTACTCCCTCTGGCATATTGCTATTTCAGCTGATTCTCTTCAGCTTACATATTTATCTTCTTTACCTGTATATACCCTAACAGACTTGATGATCTCATAAGATGTGTCGCACTTGATATTTGGATCTATAATGTCTATCTGATAATCCTCAACCGTTTTAATTTTGTGAGAAATCTGCGATCTTAAGTTTACGATCTCCTCCTTTAATGGATTTAATTCAATATTTACAATTTGTTTTATTTAATCTCCTACATTTAACATTGTGTTGTTTGTTATCGCTGGATGGTTTGAATGTTCCTGAGGCGTATTCATGTGGAGTCTGTTTTCTTTGAATGTTTTTTTGTTCATGGTTTCAAAGATTTTTTTGTTAATTTTTGTATTAAACATTTTTTTTTAAATTAAATTGTGTTTTCCGATGTCTATTTTTTCGATAAATTTCACTTTTTAATTTTTATATTGTCCTAGCAGTGAATTTATGTTACGATCACTATTTTTATACCCGTTACTCGTAGAGTAAAAGGGTATACTAGATTCGTCGGAAAGTATGTAACAGGCAGAAGGAAGCGTTTCCGACCCCACAAAGTATATATATTCTTGATCAGGATCACTAGCCGAGTCGATCTAGCCATGTCCGTCTGTCCGTCTGTCCGTCTGTCTGTCCGTCCGGATGAACGCTGAGATCTCGGAAACTATGGGAGCTAGGCTATTGAGATTTAGCGTGCAGATTCCTGAGCTTCTTACGCAGCGCAAGTTTGTTTCGGCACAGTGCCACGCCCACAAACCGCCCAAAACTGTGGCTCCTACAGTTTTGATGCTAGAATAAAAATTTTAACTGAAATGTATTGTTCTCATCAATACCTATCGATTGACCCAAAAAAAAGTTTGCCACGCCCACTTTAACGCCCACAAACCGCGAAAACCTGTGACGCCCACAATTTTCATGCTAGATAAAAAATTTTAACTGAAATGTATTGGTCTCGTCGAAACCTATCGATTGATCCAAAAAAAAAATTTGCCACGCCCACTCTAACGCCCATAACGCTTAAATCTGTATACCGCCGGTAGGTGGCGCATTTTAATCTCGCTTTGCTGCTTGCATATCTCCATATAGCTGAGTAACGGGTATCTGATAGTCGAGGTACTCGACTATAGCGTTCTTCCTTGTTTAATTTGAGATTTAAGGGGATTATTTCATTAATTATTTTCTACCTTAGTTTTTTTGATCAACACAAACTTTTTAATTTTTTGCCGGTTATATAGAGTTTAAGCGGATTATTGAATTTATTAATTTCCACCTTATTTTTATCAACACAGGCTTTACATATTCGTCGGTTGTATCGGGTTTTCGGCCGCGCTAAATTCCTTTTTCACTTTCAACTTTTTAAGCATTTAATTTAAAGCTTTGTTTTAGCATTTTTTAATCACACGGCCCCACGTTGGGCCCCAATTTTGTTTCTCACAAGTGAATTAATTTAAAAAATGTATTTTTTTTATAATCACCTATTCACTATTACAATTTTTCAATAGATAAATACATTATTGATTATTTCTTCACCATTAATAGATCTTTCTTAACTTGTATTGATTTAAAATCAAAGTTTTTGTCAGCCATCGAAATCACATCTACACAGAGAAAAAAACGAAACAATACCCGTTTGATATTGTCTCCTCAATTTTCACATATCAATTTTTTCATATCAAAATGATCAATTTGATACGAAATCATATCAACTTCAAATGTTAATATGAATCCGTATCATAATGATATGAATACTTAGCAAGTCGATAAGATTTCATATCAAACGTAATATCGAAAAGTCTTCGAAAAAATAGTATGACTGTAAATTCGTCCTTTTTGTGTATATTCTGTGTACAACGGTATAATTACGCTTTGTATGCGTTGGTCCCACTTTTATTTACTGCGTCAATTTTAGTGTAAAAAGTGACAAAAGAAAAGTTTAAGGTGTTTATAAATGTAATTACTGGGTAAGTATGTATAATTTTAACGAAATTACTTTATTTGTGCATTAGTTTGACGAAGTACCATGGAGGATCCAATTTTGCTTCAATTCCTTACGGACCACGAGGTCAATTTGGTTGTGCTTGACCTGCTTTTAGGTTTTTATAAATCAACATATGTGCAGATATATATATATATTTATATATATATATGTGTAAGCCATTATTAGTTGAGACTTATTTTTGCAATATATTCCTAGAGTGTGGATACAACTACGAAAGGCTGCAGTACATTAGTGCTTCAGATCTTGATTTAATATTTTCCAAGAGAGAATTTACAGATTCATGCGGAGCGCATGTTGGTTTCGTGAGGGTGCCACTCCCACTCTAGGGCCCAACACAGTGGTTCCTACAGTTTTAATGCTAGAGTTAAAATGTTAACTATAGTGTATTGTTCTCATCAATGCCTACCATTTTAACGCCCCCAAACTTCAAAAAATTGTAGGTATAAGGGTGGATATCTCGTAAGCTATCAAAGATAGAGAATTGGGAGTGCAGATCTAGATTCCGAAGGCTTGTACGCAGCGCGAGTTTATTACGCAAATATGCCACGCCCACTCTAACTCCCAAATGCGCCCATAACGCTTAAATCTGTACGCCGCCCACATAACCATATATTGAGATCGCGGTAAGTCAATGTTAACTCAACAAAAATCAGTATTTATTTATTTATTAATTTTTTTATTTATTTATTTCGACAACGGAATTCCTTTATTGGCTACTTGTTCAATTCAACAACTTATTCTACGTACTAAAATTTACAAAATAATTGACTTACCTAAGCTTAAGAATTGATTTACTTGAGAAGCAGTCTAATTGCATATCAATTGGAAGTGCGTTAGACTCATATAAGGCTCTATGGAGGTGCTCAATTAAAAAATAGTTTGTACGCCGCAGCTCGAGAAAAAAGGGATCAAAATTCCGAAGCTGTCTAGACGGAGCGTGAAAACCAACTTTCGAGAGTAGTTCCGGACAGTCGATACTACCATTCAGCATTTCAGAGATGAAGCAAAAGCGAGGAGACTTCTACGATGCTCAACGGATGGTAGGTGAGCAAGCCTACATTGCCGGTAGCATGAAGGAATAGGGTCTAACAACCTTAGCTGCAACAAAGCGAATTTAAGAAATTGTTTCAGTAGTCGTTCTATTCAATTTTCATGAGTGGTAGGGAAGGAGTTCCAAATAAGAGTCGCAGATTCTAGTTTAGATCCGTTTCACAAATCTAAATATAGAATAGGCCCAGGGCATGATGTAATCGGAGTGTGCTGCGAACTTAAATTTCGAGTCAAACAACACACCTAGATCCAAGGATTCCTGCCGCAGTTGTAGAGGATATGGCGAAATTGTATACGGAGTTACTGTAAGTGACATAGAAGCACTTGCTTATGTTAAGAGGAAGTGAATTTCGGCAACACTAAGAGCTCAACGAATCTAAGTCTTGTTGAACCAATTGTGAGTTTGTCGCTATTTTAATAAACTTACAAATTTTTAAATCATCTGCATACAGTAGACACTCTGAAGATAGACAGAATCTCACATCATTAATGAAAATGATAAAAAGCATAGGTTCCATAGCACTCCCTTTAGGAATGCCATAGGTTGCCAAATAGGAGTCCGAGAATTTTCCATTAATATTAACTCTATAAAGACGATGGTGTAAATATGATTTTTTCCAATTCAGTTTTGCCAGTAGGGCTCTGTGGCTAACTTTGTCAAAGGCTTTCGCAAAATCAGTGTAAGTAGCATCAACCTGAGATCGCATATCAAAGGCATGAATGCAATAGTTGCTACAAAAGGTAAGATTAGTCGTGGTTAACTGACCTGCTACAAAACCATGTTTAGCAGTGCTTATATATGTTTTTTACAAGAAACGATAGTTTATGGGCAAAAATTCGTTCAAAGAGTTTATCAATATAACTGATATTTGCTATAGGCAATGTTATTCCTCAGCCCTGATTTTTAAAATGGAGTCACGGATGCGACCTCCATTTATCCGCAAAGTGTCCACTAGAAAGTGATTTATCAAAGAGAATTTTTAGTGGTACGCATAGCACCTCTATACAATGTTTCATAAGGTAGGTCGGAATCCCATCACAGTCCGGAGTGTAAGAATCACCAACGTCTTTCACAGCCCTATTAATATTCTCTTGTAGCACGGTTAAACTACCTAAATTCAATAGAGGAATGATCGCATTTAGTGTTTGGGAATCATTCCAGGCTGCTGTTTTCTCAAACTAAGCTTTAAAATAAGAGGCAAAGAGATTGGCAGCTTCTGTATTTGAATGCGAAGATAAATTCCCTAGGAACATAGCGGATGGGACTGAAGAAGCCCGTTCTCAACTTTCGCTATATACTGATTGTAAAGAAATTTATTTTGAAATTTAAATTGTCGTTCGTGCTGTAAGTCCAAGTGTGTAGTCGAATCACCAGGATCCTGTGTAAAATGTATTTCGAAGATTTTTAAGCTTTTTCAAACCATTTGTATACCAAGGCAACTTAAATGAATTGCGGACC